CAACGAGGGGGGTCACGACCAGGGTTGAGTCGGGCATGTCCCTCCACAGGAGGAATGATCGAAAATATTCAAAAATATTGCCCAGGGGCGATTGTGCTGCGACTTCTGTCTAGTCGGGGGACGGGAGGCACTCGTCCATCGGGGGCGGCAACGAGAGGGGCGACGACTAGGGCTGAGTCGGGCATGTCCCTCCACAGGAGGAAGATTCGAAAGCATTCAAGCATTTTTTCCAGGGACGATGGTGCTGCGACTTTTTTGTCTAGTCGGGGGTATGTTTGATGACTTGTCACTGTTCTTCCAAAATCCGCCTGTAGGAGGACATGCCCGGCCTAGTAACCAGGGGGGTTGGATATCATGGCGGGGGCCATGATGACTCCCCTGATGTCATGGCGCCTCTTCTTATTCCGTTCGCTTCTCCTCCTCTTCCTCCTCCTCCTCCTCCTGCTCCTCCTCCTCCTCCTCGGGCGTCTTTAAGGGTTCTAAGTGCGCCCCGAGAAAGTGTGCATAACGGCCCAGCGTGGTGCGTATACTGTTCCAGCTTTCGAGACTGGAGCACGACGCATTATATGCAGGGCCTTTGTTGTTATACGCAGGCCTTTTCGGGCGTCCCTAGGGGCTCTAAGAAGGCCCCAAGATGGCTCCAATGGGGGGCCCAAGATGACTTCAGTGTCGCAGAGAAGCAATGTCTCAAAAATCCGCTGTGCACCAGACATTGGGAGGGACAGGGCAGGGGGGAGGATCTGGGTGGCCGTCACAGGGGCGTTTCACGGCGCTTCGGCGGTCGGCGTGGCGTTGGCGAGCCTGCCCAGCGGGCAAGCAGCGCTGCGCACTACAAGCAAGCGGGCACCACGCAAGCGAAAAGAAGTGCCGTTGCCACCGCGCCCACAGAGCCCCCTGGTTGTGGTCTCAGGGACAGCAGCTGCCAGCGGCTTCAGGACAGCCCCAAGAGGCCACGCTCTCCCAACTGAGGCTGGAGATCGTGGCACATTAGGGCCCTCTGGGAGGCCCTGCCGGGGCCTCCTGAGACCTCCGAAGGCCTTTCTCGGGAGCCCTCGCCCTCTCGGAGCCTCCAGGGAGGTCCGACAAGCTGTCCGAATCCCGCCCAGCAGCTGCCAGGGGTCCCAGGACAGCCCCACGAGACTACGATCTCCCAACTGAGGCTGGATATCCTGGCACATTAGGGCCCTCCGGGAGGCCCCGCCGGGGCCTCCTGAGGCCTCCGTGCGGCTTTCTCTGGGGCCCTCTCCCTCTCGGAGGCTCAGCAGGAGCTCCCTGACGTTCGCTGCGGACCGTTTGGCCCTCAGAGGTGGATGCCCGACCAGGGCCATCCAACAGGGGACCTTCCTCCCTTTGAGGAAGCGCATCGTCGCAGAGTCCCCCTTTCTGTTGCGACCTGCCGGGAAACGTCTACTATCCCGCCGGACCCCGAACTCCATGATTGATCCCCACCTTGTGATTCTCGGGGGCACGGGGCCGGTGGGGTGCGGATATATCTCACGGCGGGGGCCGTGCCGTTTCCCCAGGGCCCGTGGCGCTTTTTCTCGCCTCCGTGCGTCCCCGCCCCCCCCCCCCCCGCCCATGATTCAGGAGGGAAAAAAACACACAGACACACTTAATCGGCGATTCCACTTATATATATATATATATATATATATGGGAACACATGGGGAATGTGTTGACTTGTGTGTCTGTCTTTGTGTGTGTCCTGGGGCCCCTTCCATGATCGGCGCCCCGCCCCGGACGCCCCCCCTCGTTGGGCGCCCCCCACGGGAGGGCGCCCCCCTCTAGCCCGCAGAGGAGCAGCGGGGGCCCCGCCCCCTTGGCGGCGGCGTGCCGCCGCCGCCGTCGTCGGGCGGCCGCCTGGCAGATTCTGCGCGCCGTCGGCGCCTGCCGACGTCCAGGGGGAGGAGGAGGAGGAGGAGGAGGAGGAGGAGGAGGAGGAGGAGGAGGAGGAGGAGGAGGAGGAGGAGGAGGAGGAGGAGGAGGAGGAGGAGGAGGCGGAGGAGGCGGGAGGAGGAGGAGGAGGAGGAGGAGGAGGAGGAGGAGGAGGAGGAGGAGGAGGAGGAGGAGTAGGAGGAGGAGGAGGAGGAGGAGGAGGAGGAGATAGAGATCTGGGTAGAGGTAGAAACAGAGAAAGAGAAAGAGAGAGAGAGAGAGAGAAGAAGAAAAAAGGAGAAGGAGAAAAAGGAGCAGGAGAACGAGGAGGCGGAGGAGGAGGGAGGGAGGGAGGAGGAAAAGGAGGAGGAGGAGGAAGAGGAGGAGGAGGAGCAGCAGGAGCAGCAGGAGCAGCAGGAGGGGCCTGCTGCGCGCCGTCGGTGCCTGTCTCTGGGCCTCTGAGGTGGGGCGCAGTGGACGGGGCCGGCGGACCGCGCCGCGCCAGCGCTGCGTCGGCGATGCTGCTCGACGCTCGGGCCGAACGAAAGGGGGGGATTTTCGACGACAGATAAAAAATATTCCAAAAATACGCCAAAACGGTAAAACAAAATACTCCAAAAATAGTCCCCCGACTATTTTTGGACTATTGTTGGACAATTTCTGGGGTATTTTTTTTATTTTTCGTCGAAAATCCCCCTGTATGGGGACACGCCCGACTTAACCCTGCAGCCCAGGACTAACTAAGCGCCGGATCCGGCGGGAGAATCGGGCCGAACGAAAGGGGGGGATTGGGAAAGGGGGGGTACGAAATCTGCTGCACGCAGCTGGTTCCCGCCCCGCCGCCGGGCCCAGTCCTCGATACATGGCCGCCTCCCGGCGCCGGGAGGCGCCCGGGAAATCAGCCACGTGCGCCGAATCTCAGACCCCCCCCCCTTGCTATCCCCCCCTTTCGCCCGGCCCGAGATCCGGGGCCCGATGTTCTCCACGCGGTCGTCACCGTTGGGTCGCCGACGTCGCTGATGCGCCGCCGGTGCATCGACGATGCGCCGCCGAGGCATCGGCGAGGCGGCGAGGCCTGCTCCGACCCCATCTCGGAGGCCTCCACTGCCGAAGTCCCAGCATCGGCATCGCGCTTCTTCAGAGCCCCGAATCATCAGGGGCAACTCGGGTCAGGGATAACTCGGGTTCGTTTTTCGGGAACCCGAACCCGAGTTACCCCGGACCCGAGTTACCCCGGATAAGTCGGGCGTCCAGAGCCCCGAATCATCAGGGGTAACTCGGGTCAGGGATAACTCGGGTTCGTTTTTCGGGAACCCGAACCCGAGTTACCCCGGACCCGAGTTACCCCGGATAACTCGGGCGCCCAACTTCTGGAGGAGGGGGAGCAGCAGCAGCAGGTGGGGCCTGCCTCGAGGCCGCGGTCGGGCGCGGCTCGAAAGCCCAGTCTGGGGTGGAGCTAGCACTGTACTTGGTGCATGATCCTGCTCCTGGCTCCGCCATCCCTCCTCCTCCTCCTCCTCCTCCTCCTCCTCCTTCTTCTCCTCGTATTCCCTCCCCCTAACCTCCCCCCCTCCCATTGCCCGGATCCCGCCTCCCGTTTCTTTCCCTCCTTCTCCCCCACCCTCCCCTCTGGCTGGGGCTAGCTCCCCTCCAACCTCACCCTCCCTCCTCGACAGAAGATGGGGAGGAGGAGTGGCGGAGGAGAAGGAGGATAAGAATTGGCGGTCGTATCGGCGATCTCCTGGGCGCCTTGTGGGACGGGCAGGTGATGTCCGGCGACGTTGACGGCAAGCTGTGGTTCTGGGATTGGCAGAAGTGCAAGAATTTCCGCGTTCTGAAGGCAGGTGTGCAGAGGGGACGCTTTGCATCAGAGGAGAGGGATCAAGGAGGAAGAGGAGGAGGAGGAGGAGGAGGAGGAGGAGGAGGAGGAGGAGGAGAGGGATCAAGGAGGAGGAGGAGGAGGAGGAGGAGGAGGAGGAGGAGGAGAACGGCGGACGGACAAGGACATGGAAAACAGGAAAGGGACGGGGAGGGCAGGGGAGGGAAGGCAAAGCGAGTGGCACTCGAGGGAAGAATGGAAAGGGGGGGAGAGAGCGGGAGAAGGGCGAACAAGGTAGGGGGGGAATGGGGGAGGAGGAGGGGACGACAGGCCAGGAGAGGAGAGGAGAGGACAGGAGAGGGAAACGGAGGTTGGGACAGGAGAATGGGGTGGGAAGGAGGGAGAGGGGATGCGAGGGGAGAGGAATGCGAGGAGGGGGAGGGGGCCATGCCCCGCCGCGCTGACCTTGGCCACGACATTCATCCCGGCAGTCCTAGGAGTGCTCTTGTCAGCTAGTCCGTTCCCAGACTCGTCCCTTTCTCGCGATGGCTGGGCGCCCACCGTCGCTGTTCCTAGCTCTCCCTGTTCCGCATTCAGTGCGGCCCCAGTCCTTCTCCTCCGCCCTCCTCCTGCCCCTCGGCTGGGATCCCCAAGCCGAGGACAACACCGTGCAGGAGGAAAGGGAGGGAGGGAGGCAGGGGGTGGGGGGAGGCGGCGGCGGGGGGGGCTGCAGACAGGAGCGGCGCAGGATGGAGTGGGTGAAGGGCAGGCGTAAGAGGGGTTTCGGATGGAGTGCGTGAGGGGAAGGAGGATGAGGGATAATTAGGAGAGTGGGGCCTCCCGGAAGGGTCGGCGGTGCAGTGGAGGGGAGGGGCACGAGCTAAGCGCACACGACACTAATCCGTGCCAAGGTGCAGCAGAAGGGAGGGATGGTGACGGGGGGGCGGAGGGAGGGGGAAGGGGGGAGGGGGAGGAGACATAAGGGAGGGAGGGGGAAGTCAGGAGGGTGGGGAACGGGGGCAGGGAAGGGGAGGGGGCGTGAAGGGGCAGGAGGCCGAGAAAGGACGTGGGAGGAGGAGGACGAGGAGGCGGAGGAGGCGGAGGAGGAGGACGAGGAGGAGGAGGCGGAGGAGGAGGAGGAGGAGGCGGAGGGAAGGAGGAGGAGGAGGAGCGGCCCAGAAGCAGCAGGAGGAGGAGGACGACGAGGTGCCGGCGGAGGAGGAGCAGGATGCGGAAGAGCCTGCGGCACGGCGCCGGCTCGAGGCCCTGCAGGCGCGCCGCCGCGCGGGGCGCCTTGGGGGGGGGAATGCTCGGCGCGCCGCCGGACGCGCCGGCTCCCCGCTGGCTGCGCGCCATCCGCACGGCCGTGCCCGTGGAGGGCCTCGTGGCGGCGGAGGCCCGCGCCGCTGCCCGCCAGCCGTGGTGTCGGGGGCTTCCATCGGGGGTGGACAGAACCCCTCCTCTTCCTCCTCCTCCTCCTCCTCCTCCTCCTCCTCCAACTCCTCCTCCTCCTCCTCCTCCTCCTCCTCCTCCTCCTCCTCCTCCTCCTCCTCCTCCTCCTCCTAACAGTGCCACGTCGATTCGTGACGTGTCCGTTTTCGGTGCTCGAGAGGGCGCCGTGGCCGTGATTCTCCAGGCTTGCGCCCGCCAGGTTTGGGCCCGAGGTCGTTTTCACTAGACCACGCTCTACGAAAAGGGGGCCTGTCCATCCCCGATTCAAGAGGGGAGGGCGGGGGCGGGGGCGTCCAGGAGGGGAAGCGGCGAGGGGCAGGTTGCTGCGATGCTCGGAGGTTTTCTCGCCCCGGGATGCTTTCCAGCTGCCTGCGCCTCATCGAGAGCGTGCTGGGGATGCCCAGATCGTCCCAGACGGCCGGTGGAGGCCCAGGTTTCGAGGAGTGGTCAGGGCCAGGATGTGTGGGCACCTTGGCGGTGGCCATGGTACCTTCCAGATTTGGTGGCCCTCGCTCAGCAAGTCGCCGGGCCACCCCTCGTCTGCGACACGTGCCTCGGGCCCTGATGCGCCCCCCCCCATCATGATGCGCCCCCCCCATCTTCCTGGCCCAGAGGTGTGTAAGTGTGTGTAAGTGTTGTGTGTGTGTGTGTTGTGTGTGTGTTGTGTGTGGTGTGTGTGTGTTGTGTGTGTGTTGTGTTTGTGTGGTGTGTGTAGTGTGTGTGGGGGGTGTGGGTGTGTGTGGTGTGTGTGTGTGTGGGGTGTGTGTGTGTGTGTGTGTGGTGTGTGTGCGGTGTGTGTGTGTGTTGTGCGTGTGGTGTGTGTGTGTGGTGTTGTGTTGTGTGTGTGTGTGTGTGGTGTGTTTGTTGTGTGTGTGTTGTGTGTTGTGTGTGTTGTGTGTGTGTTGTGTTGTGTGTGTTGTGTGTTTGCTGTGTGTTGTGTGTGTGTGTTGTGTGTGTTGTGTGTGTGTGTTGTGTTGTGTGAGTTTTGTGTGTGTTGTGTTGTGTGTGTTGTGTGTTGTGTGTGGTGTGTGTGTGTGTTTGCATCCGACGGCGGTGGCCCCAGACCTTCAGCTCACGTCTTGGATCGAAGCGACAGCGAAGGGATGTCTGTTGTTTTCCCCAGCCGAGGGCAGTCTTCGCGGTGCCCGGTGCCGGCAAGAGACGACTCGGGATGAAGAATGCGGCCCCGGGAGAAGTGGTCGAGACTTCCAGGGGTCACTGCCCGGGGTCTGGGCGGCGCGCCATCAGCGTTGAGTCGGGCCTGGCCCTCTACAGGAGGAAGAGTCAGACACAGTCAAAGTATAGTCTGGGGACGATTTATTTTTGCATTTTGTTGACTACTTGGGAGTATTTTTTGCATATTTTCAATGTTTGAATTATTACCTAACAGCGAAGACTGATAGGTTTCTAATGGGCTAAAAAGAGAACAGCAGATGACTCCACAGGGGGGTCTGGGCGGGTGCCGGACAGGGTGCCGCAGAAGTCGTTTTAAGCCAACAGTCACACACTTCGTGCTCTTCGACCTCCCAGAACTCCATTCCCGGGCCACATTCTGAATGCCCGGAGCCAACTGTAGGCCACTTCGTGCTCTTCGACTTCCCAGAACTCCATTCCCGGGCCACATTTTGAATGCCCGGAGCCAACTGTAGGCCACTTCGTGGTCTTCGAGTTCCCAGAACTCCATTCCCGGGCCACATTTTGAATGCCCGGAGCCAACTGTAGGCCACTTCGTGCTCTTCGAGTTCCCAGAATTCCATTCCCGGGCCACATTTTGAATGCCCGGAGCCAACTCTAGGCCACTTCGTGTCTTCGAGTTCCCAGAACTCCATTCCCGGGCCACATTTTGAATGCCCGTAGCCAACTGTAGGCAATTTCGTGCTCTTCGACTTCCCAGAAACCCTTCCTGGGCCACATTTTGAATGCTGAGGCAGGCTGATGCTGCGGTCGAGGCAGGCTGGGGCTGAGGCAGGCTGAGGCTGAGGCCGAGGCTGAAGGCAGACTGAGGCTGAGGCTGAAGCAGGCTGAGGCTGAGGCTGAGGCAGGCTGAGGCTGATGCTGAGGCAGGCTGAGGCTGAGGCTGAGGCTGATGCAGGCTGAGGCTGAGGCAGGCTGAGGCTGAGGCCGAGGCTGAAGGCAGACTGAGGCTGAGGCTGAAGCAGGCTGAGGCTGAGGCTGAGGCAGGCTGAGGCTGAGGCTGAGGCTGAGGCTGAGGCTGAGGCAGGCTGAGGTTGAGGCTGTGGACTGCGACTGCCGTTGCCGCTGCGACTGTCATCGCGAATGCGACTACGACTGCGAGAACAGCAGAATTCTACAACTGGATTTTCATCTGAATCTTAAGGGGAATGCTTTCAGATATGCTTCTACACATCGCTGTTAGGTTGCTTTGCCGGGATAATTTGATTCTGGGAGTATGTTATGATTATTTGTGAGTTTTGTTTTGCAGATTTTCCACTGTTCGTCCAAGATCGGCCTGCAGGGGGACGTGCCCGACCTGAGGGGCCTCGGGTCGGCGCTGGGCCCCCCTGCACCGCGACGCCCACGGCTGCACGCCCTCGGTGTGCAGCGGCAGGGAAGATCGTGCTGTGCATCAGTGGTGCTCAGTCTGGCCGGCGGAGCTGCTGGCGCCCGTCCTCCTCCCCCTCCCCCCTCCTCCCCTCCCCCCCTCCCCCCTCCCTCCTCCACCCTCCCCCTCCCTCCACCCTCCTTCTCTCTCCTCCCTACTCCTCCTCCTCCTCCTCCTCTCCTCCTCCTACTCCCCCTCCCCCTCCTCCTCCCCCTCCTCCCTCCTCTCCTCCCCCACCTCTACCCCTCCCCTCCTCCCTCCTCCTCCTCCTCCTCCTCCTCCTCCTCGGGCGACAAGACAGATTCGGACCGGACGAAAGGGGGGATTGGGAAAGGGGGGGTTGCGAAATCTGCTGCCTGCAGCTGGTTTCGGCCTCACCGAGGGGCCCATTCCTCGATACATAGCCGCCTCCGGCGCCAGGAGGCGCCGGGAAAATCAGCTACGTGAGCTGATTCTCAAAACCCCCTCTCTGCTATCCCCCCCTTTTGCCCGACCCGAGACAGAGCGTCACCGGCGTCTTGAAGCCAGCCGTCCACTGCAGGCTCCTCTCGCGGTCTCTGTCCACAAGTGTGAAGTCGGGACTGTCCTTCCACAGGAGGAAGATTCGAAAGGAGTCAAGAAGAAGTCTGGGGACGATTTTTTGTTTTTGCATTCCTTGGGCGTTTGGGGGTATCGTTTGACTTAACACTGGTGGCCTAACACTTGGCTAGTATAGTTCTCCCAGCGGCAGATGCGTGACGATCTGTCCAGTGCGTACTTGGCATGGTGACCGTGTGGCCAAGAGTACAATATCGATGCATGGTCGAACGTGATTGCGAAGGAAGCGGTACTGCGAAGCAGACGGTGGTGGCGAGCGACGATGTATTTCACGTACGTGCGTATTGTCATTATGCCCAGAATCCAGAGTGCAAGCATGTGTGAGTGCCGACCGATTCGCCGCACGCGCATGCTCTTCTGTCAGCGCCAGTGTGCTTACTCTGGCGCTGTCCGCTCCCCACACTCCTCATCACACTCCTGATTGTTTCATCCCCACCTTCGCGTCGCCGCGCTGTATTTGTTCCAGCAGGTTCCCCTGTCGTGTCCAGTGGGTCACATCCGCTTCAGATGCCCCGTCTCTCTGTGCAGTCTTCAAGCCTCATCCCCTGCTAACGCGGCTTCTTCCCTGAGCCTCTCCCTACGCGTAACTTGGGCCACCCGCGGTGGCGCGAAGATGAGCGCGCCTCGCGCATCGCCGCGTGGGCCAGAGCGGCCGCCAGTCCTCAAGGGGGGCGGCGCGAGGGCCCGAAGACGGTCGCGGGGCGCGAGGCGCGACCTCTGCATCCTTCCGATGTGGGCAGCCTTTCCAAGGCTACCCTTGCATCCTTGCCTCCTCGGTCCAGCCTTGGCCACCTTCGCTGGCCGCGCCCCGCTCGCAGAGTGTCAGCATGGGCCTCCAAGGCCCTGGCATTGCATCCTCCTACAGTGCGGGCCGACTCTGTGCAGCCCAGGCAACCGCCTCCCCTCCCCTTCTCCTCCCCGACTGCCCTCCCTTGCAACCAGCTGACCCCCATGCCTCCCCGTTCCGCCCCCCCCCCTCTACAGCCAACCCGCATAGTAAGGATATCGGCGTCCCCCCAACATACTTATACTAGGTGTTCGTCGCCCCCCCAGGGGCGACGCGCGCACCGAGAAATCTTATAGTGTATGCGTCGTGGCGGGCGCTTTCTGGCGGCCACACCGCTCGGGCAACGACATACTACAATATGGGTATACGATATGTTCGGGTCGGACGCGCGCCTCCAAGGTGGACATAGAGTATTAGTATGCCTCTGTGCGTCCCAAGGATGGGCAGCCTTCCCAAGGCTACCCTTGCATCCTTGCCTCCTCGGTCCAGCCTTGGCCACCTTCGCTGCTGCTGCGCCCCCGCTCGCAGAGTGTCAGCATGGGCCTCCAAGGCCCTGGCATCCTCGTCGTGCATCCTTCCTATACGGCCGACCGGAGGACCGTGGGCAGCCGAGGCAACCGCCTCCCCTCTACTTCTCCTCCCCGACTGCCCTCCCTCGCCCCAGCTGGCCCCCATGCCTCCCCCCCCCCACCCCCCCTACAGCCAACCCGCGTAGTAAGGATGGGCAACCTACTCAAGGCTACCCGTGCATCCTTGCCTCCTCGGTCCAGCCTTGCTGCGCCCCCGCTCGCAGAGTGTCAGCATGGGCCTCCACGGCCATGGCATCCTCGTCGTGCATCCCTCCTGTGCGGGCCGACTGGAGGCGGCCTAGGCAGCCTCCTCCCCTCCCCTGTGCCTCCCCGACTGCCCTCCCCTGCCCCAGCTGACCCCCATGCCCCCCGAGGAGGAGATGGAGGGGGAGGAGGAGGAGGAGGAGGAGGAGGAGGAGGAGGAGGAGGAGGAGGAGGAGGAGGAGGAGGAGGAGGTCCACCCCCCCGCTGTCAGGTGCCCCCCGCGGGCGTCGCCGCGCACCTCGGCGGCGGCGGCGGTGCCAGTCCCTCCGCCGCCGAGGGAGCGGCGCCGCCTCAGGCGGGCTCGCCCCGGGAGGGCGCGCCGCGAGCGCGAGCTCGGGGGCGGCAAAGAGGGGGGGATGACTAGCTGACTGGTCCACCACGGGAAGGAGGAGGAGGGAGGAGGAGGAGGAGGAGGAGGAGGAGGAGGAGGAGGAGGAGGAGGAGGAGGAAGAGGAAGAGGAGGAGGAGGAGGAGGAGGAGGAGGAGGAGGAGGAGGAGGAGGAGGACCAAAGAGCCTGAGGATTCCTGGGGAAGGCATCTGACAATGCACCTCGTTTCTGCACACACCGGGGGCGGCAAAGAGGGGGTTGATGACTAGGGGGGTGGATATCATGGCGGAGGCCATGATATTTCCCTAGATTTCATGGCGTCTCTTCTTATTTCATGACGTCCCTGGCCCCCCCGCTGGGCCGCGCACATGCCGTCGGTCATGATTTGCACCCCCCCCTCTTGGACACCCCCCTCTTGGCCGCTCCCGACGAGTGAGAGCGAGAGGGAGAGAGAAAGAGGGAGGCGCGCAGGAAGGGCTTGGCTTCCAACGCTGGCGGCGAGCGAGGGGGGGAAGTGTCGGGTATAGCCAGGACCCCAGGCAAGGGGACCCGATTAGTGGTGGGGCCCCGGAGCCTTTGAATTGGCCAGAATCACTACACCAGGTCTGCCGCAGCTCGTGTTTTTCGGGTTGCGGCAGTTCCAGTTCGTGGAACGGGGCGGGGGGGGGGGGGCGTCCCCCAGTGCGCATCACTAAACCAGGTCCAACTCAACCCAGTTCTGCCAACGTCCGAGAAGGAGAAGACCCTCTCAGAAGGTTCGGACGTCCCCCGGCCTGCTGAGACGTTCTTTAAGCTGTCGCCGAAGACGGGAAAGAACCTCCTCAGAAGGCGTGAGGGCCTCTGAGAATGACGGGGGTCAACCTCGCCCCGTCGTCGCGCCGCGAAGGGGGTCGGAGCGCCTTCGGCGCGTGGTGGCTGCCCGCGACGGGGGTCGATGTGGGGCTGTCGGCGGGGGTGACGCCCCCCCCCGACGCTTATCAAGAAACTCGGAGTACGGGAGTACGATTGTCTTGGCAGGGATGATGGCCCGTGCGCCGCAGCAGGCAATGTATGCTGGCGCCCCCCTTCGCGCCTGCCAAACAACACAATGCAGCGTGAGTGCATGGTGTCCGCGCATGAGCCAGATTCTGCTGCAACGGGCAATTCGCATGTTTGCTGAAAGGGATGGTGGAGGTGGGGTGGATCAGGCACAGTGGTGAACCTCTCCCCCCCAACGGGGGAGAGGGAGGATGGAAGAAGCAGCGCTATGAACCACCTGTTCCCTGGAGGGTTGGTGAGATTACACCAGCATAGGTACCCTACACACGAAGCTGCATGAGACGACACATGGTGGGTCAAAATCAAAATTCTGCGGCGAGCGAGGGGCGGAAATGAGAAGGAGAAGGCCTTCTCACAAGGTTCAGAAGTTTCCCGGCCTGTTGAGAAGTTGTTTGAGCCTTCCCCAACGACCAAAAAAAATCTCAGAAGGCGCGAGGGCCTCTGAGAAGTCCCGCCGCCTTCTGAGAAGGCCCTCTCCTTCTCAGTTCCCCCCCCCCCCACGCTCGCCGCAGACAACGTCTTAGAAACAGATGACCCTGGCGCGACTTCAATCAGGGCTCTTCTGCCTTCCAGAGCAGTACAAAGGTCAGTTCGAAGCAATGCGAAGCAACGCAATGCACAGCGGTGCCTGGCGTTGCTTGGCATCTCTTGGCATTGCCTGGAATCGCTGCTTGGCGCTGTGTGGTGACGCTTGGGGAGTGCCCCGAGGAGCCCAAGCAAGGCACAAGACCACGCCCCCCTCGCTCGCCACCGAAGAGTGCGCGTGCACGACACGTCACGCGGGCGCGGCACGCGCGCACGGCACGGGCACGGGCACCGGGCAGTTTTTTGGTTGCTTGTTTTTCATGTACAAGAACCAAAAAATGGTAGCCCGGTGGCCGAGTGCAGGAGGGCGACACGACACGACGACGGAAACGACCGACGAGCGACAAGCGCGGGGGGGGGGGAAGCGAGAGGGGGGAAGGGGCAGGGGAGAAGGGGGGGAAGGGGGAGGGGGAAGGGGCAGGGGGGAAGGGGCAGGGGGGAAGCGAGAGGGGGGAAGGGGGAGGGGGGAAGGGGAAGGGGGGAAGGGGGGAGGGGGGGGGGGGGAGGGGAAGCGAGAGGGGGAAAAGGGGAGGGGGGAAGGGGAGGGGGGAAGGGGAAGGGGGGGGGAAGCGGGAGGGGGAACGCGCGCCGGGCGCGGGCACGGGCGCGGGCATGCCACGGCGCGGCGCCCCCGACACCGCGCGGCGCGCGCGCGTTGCACGCCACGCGGGCCTGGCGCGCGAGGAGGAGAAGACGCCCTGAACATAGTCAGGAGGAAAAGAAACACACAGACACAAGTAATCGTCGATTCCCCCAGACAATAGGGGATCATATGGGAAGTGGGGGGGAAGACAGAAGGCCAGAAACTATAGGAGACTATGGGGAATCTTTTGATTTGTGTCTATTTATGTGTGTGACCTTGGGCCCCTTCACATAGCTTGTTTACGCTTCGCGAGTCCCCATCAGCTCGCTTCGCCCTTCTCCTTCTGTGCGCTTCTTTGGGCCGTTGCTTCGACGCTTCGTTCTGACGGCGCCCCGCGTCTTCTGGTGCGCTCGCGATCAAAAGAGAGTCCCCACCAGCAATTTCAGGAACTCTGCCCAGGACAACTACCAGGGAAGGCAGTAGGGGGAGGGGTAAACGCCTCCCCGAAGGGGGAGAAGGGGTTTGGGAAGAGGAGAGACGGACATCGTTGGACCACCTGCGCCAGAGAGGGCCGATGGGACTTTCGGCGCTCCGCGCAGAGTTCTTGGATCCGCGCTGGGCCCCCCCGGCGGCGCCTCCGGCGCCGCCCTGGCGCGCTCCGCGCGCCAGGGGGGAGGGACTGGCGCGGATCCAGGACACCCGCGCGGAGCGCCAAGAGTTTGTGCTTCTGGCGCGGTTTCTTCTTCTGGACACGGCACGCGGGCACGGCGCGCTCGCGCGTGCCAGGAGGAGGAGGAGGAGGAGGAGGAGGAGGAGGAGGAGGAGGAGGAGGTTCGGTGTCGTTTACCCCCCCAGTTGGGGATACGCCCCTCGAAGCTCGAGGGGAACGACCTGCATCCCCATCTAGGGGGGCAAACCGGCCAGTGGGGCCTAGGCCACGCTGCTGGGGGTGGAGATCTGCTAAGCGATACTCAGAGGTGGAAGCAGGGCGAGCAGGGAGGGCGTACCTTTCCCTCGTGTCGAGCTGTTCCGTCCTCGGTCTGCTCGCCAGGCGCTCGCCCCCTGTGGGCTCTCCTACGCGCGGGTCGTGTTCACCTCGCCGCTGGCCCCGCACGGCCCGCACGTGGTCGTGGAGAGGGCGTTGGTGCGCGGGCGGGGTTGCCCCCTCCAGCCCCCCCTCTCCCCTCGGCTCCCTGGCCCTCATCCTCCCGTTCCCCATCCAGCTCATCATTCGAGGAGGAGGAGGAGGAGGAGGAGGAGGAGGAGGAGGAGGGAGGAGGAGGAGGAGGAGGAGGAGGAGGAGGAGGGGGGGGAAGGGGGAGGGGGGAGGGGGAGGGGGAGGGGGAGGGGGAGGGGGGGGGAGGGGGAGGGGGAGGGGGAGGGGGAGGAGGTGGAGGAAGGGGAGGGGGAGGAGAGGGAGGAGGAGGAGGAGGAGGAGGAGGAGGAGGAGGAGGAGGAGGAGGCGGAGGAGGAGGAGGAGGGGGAGGAGGAGGAGGAGGAGGAGGGAAGTACCCGAGCGTAAGAGTTGGGAGGTCCGCGCAGATCCCTGAGATCGGCGCTGCCCCGCCGCCCCTCTGCTCCGCGCGGCGCCGCCCCTGGCGTGCCCCGCGCGGCGCCGAGCCAAGAAATCCCCGAGGATTTCCAATGTTGTATGTTTATGTAGTTTCCCATTCTTCTTCTCATGCAATGGACTCTGTGCCATGGCATGGGCCTAAAGTTTGGAGAGGCGATGGCAATGCAGACCGGACCCGAGGAGGGAGCGCAGAAAGTTCGCAGAAAGAATCCTCGAGAATCTCGAAGAGATATCGAATGATCAGCTGGGTATCATCCACTAGCTAGGCGAAATCGGTTGCCACACTTTGCTTACAGAAGTGCAGTCCAATCAATATTGCCAGCACCATGTCCCATAGGATCCGTCGTAACAATACAACGGACAAGTTGATATGTTGAGGTACCCAAGTTTGACTACGTCGCGAAAGTCGTCGGGTTTAGGGTTTAGGGTTTGGGGTTGTGGAGCAGTTAGGACGCATGCCAAACCCTCGTGACATTGTCTGCCGTGACGAACTAAAACGAGATGCCGCCCCGTCTTGTGAGGCGAGTCACGTTCCCAGCAATGATGGAGCGGGCAAGGAAGCGGAGGCCACATGCGACGGTCTTATAGCGAGTATTCAAACGCAGATCGGGTTGCTCAACGAGGTTAATAGGGTAACCAATTACTTAGATTTGGTGTTGGAAACACTTAGCAACAATATTGTGGTTTACAAATCGACTTTTCCAAATCCAAATTACACGAAATGGTCCATGGATGGAGTGGAGCAGCGCGATGACTTCATGCGTTGCTGTTGTCTTTGGCGGGGAGCACGCAGCAGGCTTCACAGCGGGACCGAAGACCCGCTGAGCAAGACCGACGAGTTGTTGGAATTCATGCTCGCATTGCACAAACTATGACCGAGGTGATGGTAGTATCGCGCAAGCGCATGTGAGGAACATGTGCCCCTTTTTGCGTATCGTCCCATTATCGAACTGATGGGAAGGATTGACCCAATGGAATCAATGCTTCGAATTCCAAATATTCTGAAGCAGTCGTGCACCACGACATCTTAGTTTCGGGAGTTTCGGCGCTCCGGCACCCCCGCCGAGCTCTTAGAGGGCCGCCCCCCCGGGGGCGAACATCGGCGCCTTGCCTTGCCTGCCTGTCCCTGCCTTTTCTTCATGCCTCCCTTCTGCTCTTCCTGCGCCCTTCCCTTGCTCCCCTCATTATCTCCGAATGCCCCCATCCGATGTGTATATATGAGCTATATGTGAGTACAGACAAATGTATACACAGCTTTATAGATACATACATACGTATATGTGTGTACACACATACACATACAGGGACGGCGGGAGGAAGGGAGAGACAGAAGGGAGAAGGAGAGAACGAGAGAGCGAGACAGAGACACACAAACCAGTTCGGACAGAGGTCTGTCCGTCGCCGCAGCTACAAGCGCTGCGCGCGACTCTTGTCCACATTGGTCTGTAGGCGCTAAGCACTTCACGGCAGAAGCTCGCAGCGTTCTTGGTGCGTGGCTGACATGGGGTTCATGTCTGACTGGGCGGATGCGGCAGGAAACTTCGGCGCCGCGCGCCGTGCAGCGAGCGTTCGCGTGGGGTGAGGACCGCGCCCGTTGAGTAAACAGCTGTGAAAGGGCACCTTCCAGGGCAAGGTGGCCCCACAAGGAAGGAACTTGGACGGTGGTTTCGGTGTGACACGGGCAGCCTGGCGGCCGCGCTTGATGTGAGGCGTTGGCGGCGGCCGAGACGGAGGCCATCAGCACGGTGGTGGAGGCTGCCGTGTTACGCTGGCCCGGACGGACAGCGTCCCAGGCGGCCCAGGGAGAGGCAAGGCGACGTTGGGCGGCGGCTAGGCGGTCAAGCCTCTTGCTGCTCAGGGGTAGCCAACCGCGTGTGCTGCGGCGCACGGCTCTGGGCCGTCGCGGCGGTGACGGCGAGATGCTTGGAAACGGCATGCCGCCGGTCTCTAGGGACCGCGGGGGTCCTTGGGTTGGCCGACGGGTGGCCGTGGTCGCTCGCCGCAGTGGGGGCCACGGGTTGGGGAATGGCCGTTGGTGTCTCGCACCGCAGCGGCTGTCCTCGCGGCCGCTGTGCCTCGCCGTCGCACGATGGCCCCAACACGATAGACATAAATCCTGCAATGCGCACCGTCAACTCCATCTGGCGATGCACATCTGCTTGCTTGGCGCGCGCACGACGGCACCGTCGACGACGGCCTCGGTTCCGTGCCCCATCGCTCCGTGCAGCCCTGACATGCATGAGGATCATATTGGGTTCGTTCTCAGCGTCGCAGCTGCTGAGGTCGCTGGGCTCTGACTTCACTTCCTTCACAGTGTCGTTGATGATGGAGGACTGCTTCCTACCAGCGTCATAGTCGACGACGCTGGGCTCTAATTCGGCGGCGCAGCTGATGACGTTGGGCGCTGACCTCGCTTTCGCCCCCGCGCTGCAGCTGATGGCGTTGGGCTCTGAATTTGCTTTCAACACCGCGCCGTAGTTGATGACGTTAGGCTATGATTCGGCATCCTTGCCAGCCTCGTAGCTGTCGTCGTGCTCTGATTCGGCATTCTCCCCAGCGTCGTAGCTGATGACGTTGGCCTCTGGTTTCGCGTCGTTCTTGGCATTGTAGGAGGTGGCGTTGGGCTCTGGCTTCGCTTCCTTCCCAGTATCGTTGCTGATGACGTTGGATTCTGACTTCGCTTCCTTCCCAGCGTCGTACTTGATGACGTCGGGCTCTGACTCGGCATCCTTCCCAGCGCCGTAGCTGGTCACGTTGGGCTTTGACGTCGTTTCCTTCCTAGCGCCGTAGCAGATGACGTTGGCCCCAGGCTTCGCTTCCTTCCCAACTTAGTAGCTGCTGGCATTTGTCAATGATTTCGCTTCCTTCCCAGCCTGGGCTCTGATTTACCGCACTCCCACCCTGGTCCCAGCGGCGCTGGGGTCTTAGGGCGCCTGGCATCGCTCGGACGTGTGCATTTTTTTTTCGGCGAGAACCATCGAGGAGCATCCTGGACCATCGAGCAAAAAAAACACGCACGAAACCGAAAAATGCACGAGAAATGGACGTCCGAGCGACGGCAAGGGCGGGCACGGCTTGACTTCGCCGGCGCTGGAGCTGGTGAGGGCGGCATCCGCGGCCTCCCCTGCGTCGCACTCCAGACTGGTCCCAGCGGCGCTCGGGTCATGGGGCGGACCTCTGCCAGCGGCCGCGCGAGGAGCCAACGCTCCCGGGGCAGACTGGACCTGGCGTCGCTCGGACGTGTGCACTTTTCCCTCCGGCGAAGACCATCGAGGAGCATCCTTGACCATGCGGCGAAAAAACAACGCACGACACCGAAAGAAGCACAGGGAATGGACGTCCCAGCGATGCCCGGCCGGCCCCTCCCCCCCGCTCCCTGGCCGGGCCAGGTGGACACCGGCTCGTCGGACTGCGAGCTGCGCGAGTGTCCCCTGCGCCAGCTGCAGCCGCTGCCCGTCGTCGCCAGGGCCTCCCGCCCCGCCCTCGCAGGGGGGTGGCCCTCCTCCGCCTGCTCCCCCCCTCCTTACCTCTCCTCTCTCGCCTCGTCCTCCTCCCCGCGCTCCTCTCCGCCAGCAGGAAGGGAAGGGATCTTGGAGGAGAGACGTCCCGAATGTCCTCCGTGTCTGGGCTCCGAGCACAAGGTTTGCTACCAGATCAAGCCTCGGGGCCCAGGGCCCGTTTCCGCTGGTACTTACCCGTTTCCCCCTCTCTCTCACCTATATATATATATATATATATATATATATATATGTATATGTATATGTGTGTGTTTGTTTGTATGTATGCATGTATGTATGTATGTGTGCATGTATGTATGTATGTATGTATGTATGTATGTATGTGTGCATGTATGTGTGTATGTGTGCATATATGTGTGCGTATGTATGTATGCATGCATGTATGCATGTATGTATATATGTATGTATGTGTGCATGTCTGTATGTATGTATGTATGTATGTATGTATGTTTGTATGTATGTATAGGTGTGTGTATGTATGTATGTATGTATGTATGTATGTGTATGTATGCATGCATGTGTGTATGTATGTATGTATGTGTGTGTATGTATGTATGTATGTATGTATGTATGTATGTATGTATGTATGTGTGCGTATGTATGTATGTATGTATGCATGTATGGATGGATGTATGTATGTATGCATGTATGCGAGCATGTGTGTATGTATGTATGTGTGTATGTGCGTATGTGTGTATGTGCGTATGCATGCATGCATGCATGTATGTATGTATGTGTGTACGTGATAGCCACCGTGGACCCCTACCAGTGTGTTTCTAGCAATCTATGTGGTGTGGCCTATATAGAGCACTCGATGTGGTGCAAGATATGCGGAGCAACGTACGTGGTGCAATTGATGCGGTGCGAATTAGGTTGTACATTCGATGTTGTGCAACATGCGATGTTCAATCTATGTTGTGCAATCTATGTTGTACACGGTCGTCCGGGGCGACTCGGGCCGGGACGAGGGGGGAGGACAAGGGGAGGTTCAGGGGTCTCTTCACCTGCGTCTCATCACAGCGCCATGGACTGCGCGAGAACCTTAGCGCGCGTGGTGCTAGTACGTGTCAGTGTTCAGGGATCGCGAGGAGGCACGCGGAGGTGAGGGGGAGGGCAAGGGTAGCCAAAGGTGCATTCAGTCTTTTGATGCATTTCCCAACCATCCTGCGGTGTTGGGTCCTCGGTTTGAAGAGCCAGTCCCCGCGTCCCCCTCCTCCTCCTTCCCCTCCTTCGTCCTCCCCTTCCTTGCCCCTGCCCTCGTCGCCATCGCCATCAGAATGATCAGCATCATCATCATCATCATCATCATCATCATCATCATCATCATCATCATCATCATCATCATCATCATCATTGCACTACTTGTAGATTTGGGTCTAGAGGCTTTGTGAGGTGCCACTTGTCCGTAATGATTACGGCTCAAGTCACGCTGCTTTGAGGAGCCCGTCCTCGATGCATTCAGGCGTCGCCTGGCTCGCCTCCAGCTCAGTTTCCATCGCTGGCGAGCCCAGCTGTCGCCGCGCCGTAGGCTCGGCGGCCTATTCGTGCTTGACGGGCGTCGACCCCACTCAGTTCTTCACGTCGGCCGCCTTCGGCCTGGGGGTGTTCACAGGAGTTGCGAGCGTGTACTTCGTGAAGGTCGTTTCGCGCTGTGCGCGCTGCAAGGTGCGCGTGGTGTCTGGAGAACATCGGTTGGATGCTCGGCTTGATGGCGGCGATCACCCTCGAGGCAGGTCGGAAGGTCAGCCTGTTTTACCAGCCGGAGCCGCTCCCGGCGCCACCGCCGAAGTGGCACGAGCGGGTCCTCCTCGAGCCCGGCTCGGAGACGGCGATGCAGAAGTGCACGGGCGAGTCCTTGTACAATGGGGGCATGGTCTGGTGGGTGCTCACCCCGGACGGGGACGTGTACCCGGAGGAGCTGGCGGCGCCGCCACTGGAGGGTATCGCGTACTACGACGACGCGGAGGTGCCCCATCTTCAGCTGCAAGTACGTCCGCTTCCTCCTCCAGTGGCGGCCAACACCCACGGGTTCCGTGCCGACCGCTCAGCTGGACCTCCTACCCCGCTATTGGTGATGAGGGCGATCTCTGACGCTAGGGTGGAGCAACATGCGCTGGACCCAGAGGCAGGTGCTGTTCGCGAGGGTCCCCCTCCAGCGCCAGCAGCTGGACGTGTCATCTGGGTGATCGGGTCCTCGGCCGACGGTGACCCGGAGGCGGAGAAGGAGTACATCCACGTCCCAGGCGATATCACGATCGGCCTGGGCGCCTACTGGTTGGTCAAGCGAGGAGCCAAGTGTTTGATACTGCAGGAGGTATTGCGTCAAGACACGGGTATGATCAAGCTGCTCCGAGATCAGGAGACCGACGCGAGAGTCATCCCGGTGAAGTGGAGGTCGGCCCAACAGCGTGGCCGCAACTTCCGCGAGGCCGTCTCGCTCCAGGAGTTCCACGACTTCGGCGACTCGCCGTTGCAGGGTGATGTGAGCCTTCCTTGGCTGCTCACCGAAGTGGCCCAGTCCTCCGAGGGGACGGTGACGCGCCACCACACATGGCTGTCAGCCAGCGGCATCCCGAGCGGCGACCGCAGCATCCACGAGCATTTCGTGATTTCCAAGGTCTTCGACCTCGCGATCGAGCTGGATCAATTGAACACGATGACTTTGACTTCCTTCGAGCTGCTAGGGCGGCGCCTGCAGCTCATCGAGCAGGCCCACGTGTACAACCCCAGCAACCCCGACTACAGCAATTCGGACGACTTCATGGGCTGGGGCGTCCAGCGTGGCGCCGCCCTGGTGGCGCCGTCTATCAAGAGGCGGGCCGCCGACGCAGCACGAGATCGGGCAGCGGTCCTGAAGGAGGGTCGCAAGCTCGAGGAGGAGATCCGCCTCCGGAAGCCGAAGGGTCGTGGCCGTGGTGGCAAGGGCGGCGGAGAAGGAGACGGGGGCGCCGGCGGCTCCGGCGCAGGGGGGTCATGACCAGCTCGCAGGACCCAGTCGCTCCCTGGGAGACTCCGGCGGCTGGGTTCAAGTATGAGAAGGGGTCTCGCCTACCTGTACAAGTTCCCCGTGACCTCTTCCCTCTTCCTGAGCTCGAGGTCGAACATCTTCAAGATCACAGCGTGAGTCGCTCGGCGCAGCGACGAGTTTTGAAGCGGAGTGCTGTGGACGCCGAGGTCAATCGTACGATCAAGGCCCTCAATGCTCTCGATGGCCATTTGACGCCATCATCTTCCCCGCCCTCGCTGTGTCAGCGAGAGGCCATCCAATTCATTCGTTCAGTGCATGACGCAGCCGAGCCGCCGCAAGGTGACTACGGCTCCGAGGGGGCCGTCCGCGCGCTCCTCGGGACAGACTCCGCGCACGGTGGCGAGTCGACCTTGGTACAGTCCTACGACCGGAACCTTCTCAGCATCCCACACGTGGGGGCGGGGCCCGTCCCCGTCAAGGAGATGCTGCCGCCGAAGGTTCGCTGTTGTCTCGAGGACCTGAACAACATTCTGCTCGATGATCAAGAGTGGGGCGCCGTGTGTGAACGGGCGGATCCCATCAAGCTCTACATGGATCCGAAGCTTCGCTACTCCAAGAAGGCCTATTTTCAGTTTGTCCGAGACTGTCACTCGGCCGGCCTTATCCGCTGGGCGCCTCTGGTACGTGGGCGAGTCACGGTCTTCTGTGTGGCCAAGAAGACGGGCAAGCAGAGGCTCGTGGTGGACTGCCGTGCCACCAACAGGCGCTTCCGGCGGTGCCCTTACTTGCCTATGGGTACCGGGTCGAGCTGGGGAGAGATTCCCCTGGAGGACGACGCAGACCTCTGGGTGAGCCTGTCGGACATCAAGGACTACTTCTACGCCTGCGGCATCGACGATGACCTCTCCAGCTACTTTTGCCTCGACGACGTCCCAGGTTGGCTCGTCTCCGAGCTGGAGGGCAACGACAGCCGCTTCAGCCATTTTTACGGGCGCGACGCCGTTGCGCCCGCCTTCCGAGTGCTTCCCATGGGATTCAGCTGGAGCTTCTATCTGGCACAGATCGTCCACTCCTCCGTCGTCAAGGGGGTGCTCCCGGACACGGCTGGATTGGTACTTCAGGATCGCCGGCCTGGCCCGACGATCGGCGCCCGCGGCCTCGTGTCTTTGCCTTACTGCGACAACCACGCCACCGGGGCGGGCTCCCCGGAGCTTGCCGACGGCGCCCGCATCGCAGTGGCTCGCCAGCTCACGGCCGACGGCTTCGCAGTACACGAGGAGGAGGACGCCTCCCTCTGGGCCGAGAGCCTCGGCTTCGCCATCGACGGCTTGACTGGCGAGGTGGGGCCCACCGCCAAGAGGGCGACCCGCCTGGCCGCCGCGGGCCGATGGCTTGCGCGCCGCCCCAGGATCACAGGCGTGATGCTTGAGCGCTTCCTGGGGCATTGCACTTTTCAGCTCATGGGCGAGCGCTCGCTGCTGAGCATCTTTGGTGCGTGCTATCGCTTTGTCAGGGTGCATTATAAGCAGAAGGTCCGCTTGTGGCAGTCAGCCGCGCGGGAGTGCGAGTGGCTGTCAGCTCTAGTCCGTTTTGCTCGCACCAACCTGCGTCGGCCGTGGAGCCCCACGGCCCACATGTTCGACTCGTCGGAGACAGGCCTTGGGATCGTCCAGGGCGTTTTCGACGAGAAGCTCATCGCCGGCACTGGCCAGTACAACGAGCGGTGGCGTTTCAAGCAGCCTCATGCGCTCGCGAGGGGCGTGCGTGCGGGAGCTCTCTGGCACTTCCGAGATGCGATCGAAAATGTTGAAACAGTACTCCCTATCGCACCGCCGCCCCCTCGCCCCTGGAAGAGAAGGCGCAAGTTCCCGGAGGTCCCCACAAAGATGCTCGAGAAGGACTCCTGGCACACCATCCTGTCAAAGCCCTGGTTTCGGGACGAGCACATCACCCTGCTGGAGGCCCGTACTGGGAGATTGGT